TTTCCAAAATAAGGCAAGCCATGACATTACCTGATTGCGCCCGGAGCAAAATGCAAGCAAACCTTAATCATTTTCTACTCGGGATGTACATTTTTTGTGTTGAAAGCATGTAGGCAGGCGGGGCTGCGCCCTCCCGCAGGTGGAAGAGCTTCGTTTCTCTCCCCTGCTCCCCCTCGAAAAAAAATAGAAAACGACTTCTGATTAAGTGTCGCTAAAAATCACGTACATATTATCGACATGAAGCGACCTGTAATTGGAAGTTGTTTTCAATTTTTTGTCGAGGAGCAGGGAGGAGAGGCGAAGCCCCTCCACTTGCAGAGGAGCGTAGCCCCCCCCTGTCTACATGCTTTCAACACACAAAAAATGTGTCGGAAAAAAAGATTTATTTATGAAACTTTTTTTGATCATAACTTTTTTATAAACAATAAGCGACGGCTAAAACTTTTAGAAACGTACTCAGGAAGGTCATATTTACAATATACTATATGTAAACGAGAAGGGAGGCCAATCGGAAGGGAGGCAGATCGGTAGGGAGGCCGATCGGAAAGGGCTCCCCTATTCTGTATATTTACCAACTTTTTTTTTAAAGTAAACTGTTTTGAAACATGTTTGATAATATGAATATTTTTAGATTTTTATTACCGTTATGGATGACATTATTTTAACCGCGCCCACAAACGATTAAAATTATCTTTTAGATAATTTCAACGGATATAATGACAGATTGAAGTTTACGATTGAGACGCAGGATAGAAATTTTTTAAGCTTTTTAAATGTCAAACTGATTGTGTTTACTAATGGGACAATCACGTGCGACTGATACCACAAACCCACATTTTCGGGGCAGGTATTTAAATTATCACTCCTCACACCCAGTCTCTCAAAAAATAGGAACTATTATCGGAATGGTAGACAGAGCTTTGTTGTTGTCCTACCCTGTGTTTCAAGAATATAAAATTTATAATCAACATCCTCATCTTTAACTATCCGTTGGAAATAATTTTTAAAGTCGTCAATGACCGGGTAAAATATCAGATTGCGACAAAAATTAACGGAATATCGGACAGTTTGGAGTCCACACCAACTTCAAAAACCATTAAAAATTATTTTGTTGTACCTTTTATTAATAAAATATCGCGCACAATTATACAATCGTTGAAAACGGGAGATGAAAATATGTTAGCTTATAGAAGTCTCAATACATCATACAACATCATTCACTTACAATGAAACATCGCGAACCCGAAAATTTTGATTTTGATGAAACTTTGCATACATGTAAGAGGGGTCAATAGATGAATACGTATTCAGTTGCTGCCTAAAAACGGTTTTAAGAGGTGAAATCAACCCTTATATGTAAAGCGGCTTTTCACTTTTCTCAGTTTATCTCGAAAATTATTGGAGATATTAAAAAATATTATACAATTAAAATTTATACAAAACTTTTATAGAAAAATATTCTCTATTAGCCGTATTAATAGAAAAAAATTAAACAAAACAAACAATTCTATTAATGTAAATAGAGGCTTTTATATTATAATACATTTGCATAAAACATTTTTTGATATTTCTAATAGTTTTCGAATTACGTCGAGAAAAGCGCAAAGCCACTTTACATGAGAAGTGTTTCACTCTTTAGAATCGGTTTTTGGCCGCTACTAAAAATTTCTACAATCATATATATTATCTATACATGTGTACAAAGTTTTATCGTAAAAACATCTCTATGTAATCGCATAGTAATACAAATTTAAAAATGTTTTTTCCAAAATCTATTTTTCTTTTATAATATATAAGGAATTTGCGTTATATACTACAATATAGTGATTTTTAAAAATAATGTACGTTATACGTGAGAATATTTTGCAATAATTTTTTATAATCAAAAGACTTTGACAAAATAAAAACTTAAAGAATTTAAAATACAATAAATCAGATAATAAGACGTTGTAAATTAAAAGTATTCGCCACGTAGATTTAGCGCGCGTGACTGCCAATTTTTAATATTATTAAATAAATATGTAAGTCAATATCAGTAATAAAAGTATGTTTTGACACATGTTGCGGATGAATAGTCTTGCTACACGTGATCTTGTTGTTTTCAAGCTTTGAGCGTTGAAAAAAAACATCTCGGCCGTGGAAGTGAACAATAATATACATGCATACACACTTTGCGTATTATTTTCTCTCTTTCTCTCTCTCTCTCTCTCTCTCTCTCTCTCTCTCTTTCTCTCGCTCTCTCGCTCGCTCGCTCTCTCTCAAGTTATCGGTGAATACATACAGACGTGTGTTGTGTCGCTCTGTCATCTGAGGCTATTTCTCTGCCATTTATTGCCCTTCGGGGCTGTTTTTTTCTTACAGTAAGATCTTGCCAGGCTTTTTTTGGCTTAATATTAATATATCCACGGAAGGTATTGTCCGGTTTGCTCTGGGTGCCTGTTTACTTTTTATCTGCTGGTCTGTAGCTTCTACCATTAACGGATCTGGTAGCGCATGTGTGAGGGTCGAGCGTGCATCGCTCTTATTGGCTGATTTCGTAGAACGGCTAACCGTTCTTGAAAACTCTGATGTCTAGGAAGGATTCTCTCTTACCGATGTCGACGGGAGAAGGTGACGGAGAGAATTCGACCACACATGTGCTCACTTGTGTGTCAAGTGCTAGCAGCATCGCAGACAGACATACGGCTACTGCTTGTATGTCTATATCCAAAATCAATGCGCTTAATCCCTTAACCTACAACTACGGGCATAGCCCGTAGTAGATGATCGGGCCAAACGTGAATATTATGGGCATAGCCCGTAGTAGATGATCGGGCCAAACGTAAATATTACGGGCACAGCCCGTAGTAGAATAATTAATTAATAATTAATTTTCGAATCTAAATTGTAGGTTAAGGGGTTAAGACATCTATTAATAGACATAATGATAACATTTCAGGGTTGTTGCTGTCCAGCAAGAAGTCTATGGATAAATGTAAAACTATTAAGTCCGCTTTTAGAGCATGCAAAGAGGCGTTCTTAGAAGTTGCTAACACCTTGACTTTTATGCTAGAAGATTGAATTTCGCCAATCGATGACATTAAAAAAAATGATCACTGATGTCTTGAATCAATGATAGGATAACACATGCACTTGGAAGAAACAATTTATCTGATTCACGTGAGCGGACAAGTAATTGTGACTCTTATGCGTCGGTGGTTAATTCTGGCGGCAATAGGGTTTGTGTTTCGCGAGATCCGATTGTTGCCGTGCCTGAAACCACCTCTTTCTTAGTGGTACCACAAGAAGAAAACTCTGACAAATATACATCATCGCATATTACTAAGGATGTTCTACGACAAGTTTTAAAACCATCCAAGTGTGAATTGAGAGTCAACAGAGTCTCTTTTGCTCAGAGAAATGGAATCAGAGTCGAGGTTTTTGCACCGAATATTCAAAAAATTAAGGCACACCCTGGACTTGCTAAAGCGGACTTAAAAGTGGTTGAGAATGTGAAATCCGATCCTTGACTTATTATCTATAATGTTCCTGAGGAAATGACATCGGACGACATACGTGAGAAATTAATTGCGCAAAATTTAATTGGCCTTAAGGAGACTAATATCAAAGTTGTTTATACATATCCAATCAAGCCTGATAAGCGATCCAAAAACTGTGTAGTAGAGGTATCACCTTTGGTAAAATACGCTTTTTAAGGCAAACCGCATATATTTGAGATATTCAGCCTGCAAATTTGCAGACCATGTGAGAATTCTACAATGCTACAATTGTTTGAATTTTGGCCAAAGTTTGCAAAAGAATTCAGTGTGTGGACATTGTCTCCATTTAGAGGGAAGCATCAAATGAGAAACTGCAACAATGCGAAGAAGGCTTCTAGGTGTAGAAACTGTTCGACCAGTAAGACATTATCTGCTGAAGATCTGAGCCATGCAGACACTGACACGAAAAAATGTTCTATTCTCTGCCGGAAAATTAAAGACAAAATTTCCAGTATCGACTATGGCCAGTAGAAATACTAACGAGGATCTTATGTTTTGTCACGTGAATTGCTAATCGCTTCTTGCCCATTTCGATGAATTTGAACTATTTTTCAACCGTTTTCAATTCCATATTATTTGTCGGAAACTTGGCTTAAGCCTAATCTTCCAGACAGTATGGTTAACTTATGCGTCAACACGCTTTACAGGCACGAGTTGGAAAGCGTGGCAGCGATGTTGCTTTTTACATTCACAATTCTCTGAGTGCCAGCATATTGAAAACATCGGACGCTCTTTATTGCCGCAGACCTGAATTTATAGTTGCTGAAATTGCCCCCTCGATCTTTGCCAAGTTGTTGCCGGCGAATATAGATCACCAAATTGTGGCTATTTGCAAGATTTTGAAAACACCTTTCTTAATCTTCAGGTTTATTACAGACATTCTATCATCGTTGGTGATTTCAATGCAGATATGCTTGTCAATTCCTATGATAGCCATCAATTATCTATGTTCCTTAAATCCTCAGGCCTTCACTTGGTCCCTTATCAGGCTACTCATAACTTGCAACACTCTAGCACTTTGCTTGATCTTTGCATCATTGACGATCCCAGCAAGCTTATTGATTTCGGACAACATGATGTGACTTTTCTGTCTGCGCACGATCTCATTTTTATCAAATATAAACTGAGTGTCAAAAGAATATGTGACAGAATGATTACCTGCAGGAATTTTAGTAATTTTAATGAAGATGCTTTTTTACATGATGTTGCAAGTATTGACTGGAGTGAGCTAACATCGTCTGTGTCTTTGAATGAAAAGATTGAAATCCTTAATGCAAGTCTTCTTGAATGTATAGATCATCATGCGCCTCTTCAACGTAAATGCTTTAAGAAACTCCCTGCATCTTGGCTCACTTTTGACATCAAAAATGCAATGCGAGAAAGAAACAGGGCACATAGAAAATGGCGCAGAAATGCCACAGAAGACTCGTATCGCATATTCAAGAGATTGAAAAATGATGTTCAAAAAATGGTTTGCACTGCACGCAGTGACTATTATATGTCTTTCTTTTTGAACATTGAGAATCCGGGTTTAATTTGGAGCAATTTAAGATACCTGGAACTTGTGAAAGCTAGAGATATAAGCAAATGTCTCTCTCACTCTACTGACACACTGAATGACTTCTTTGTTAACGCTGCTGGTAGTTGTGATAGTTTGGTAAATGCATCGACTTTTGATTCTCTATCCGACACTTTTGATGACTCCAAATTTTATTGGAATCACATAACTCCGTCAGAGATCAATAGAGCTTTCTCTAGAAGATAAAGACAAATGCCATTGGTGTGGATGGTATTCCTAGCAAAATCATCAAGCTTGCCTCAACTTACATCATGCCTGTCATTGAGCACATTTTTAATTACTCTCTGACACATGGTATCTTTCCAGACTGCTGGAAATCTTCCATTAGTAGTCCAATACCAAAAGTAAAAAATCCTACTTTGCCACTACATCGGCCTATTGCAATACTCCCGGCAATATCTAAAGCTCTTGAAAGAGTTGTCTGTGTGCAGATTCAAAACTATTTGGAGAAAAATAATCTCTATGATTCCCACCAGTATGCATACAGAAAGGGACACTCTACTCAGACTAGCATAATTAAGTTACTAGACGATGCAAGAAATGCTGCAGATAAAAGAATGGTCACCATCACTGTCTTTTTTGACCTGTCAAAGGCTTTTGACAGAGTGCAACATCACATTCTTTTGAAGAAACTTGAGGCTCTAGATTTTTCAAACATCGCTTTGCGCTGAATTCATTCTTATTTATCGGACGGAACTCAAGTTGTCAAGGATCCAGTTAACTCTCTCAGCCTGTTTCAATGAGTGTAGGTGTTCCGCAGGGCTCCGTTCTCGGACCGTTGTTATTTATCTTATATTTGCACGACTTTAACACAACATTAAATTATTGTAAATACAGTTTCTATGCGGACGGATTTAGTCTTATACTTCCACTGTGATCTACGCAATATGCAGCGTAGCATTGATAAAGTTAACTGTGACATCAAGAGCATTGTCTTATGAGCTTCGCAGAACAAACTACTACTAAAATGTGAAAAAACACAATCATTTTAGGATCTGCCAGATATATTAACACACTCAACCAGCAACAACCTAGTATAATGGTTAGAAATACCTCAGTTCAGTATACGTCTGAGGTCAAATATCTTGGCATTACCATATCTAGCTCTTTCTCTTGAGAAAAACATGTCACTAACACAATTAACAAAATTAGGAGAACACTCTACCAGCTTAAGTTGTGCAAAAATCTACTTCTGCGAAAGCTAAGGATCAGACTTGTAGTTACACTCATATACCCACATTTGGATTACTGTTGTGCTTATACCGATATACCTGCCGAACAGAACCTACGTCTTCACAGAGCAACAAATGCTTGCATAAGATTTATTTTTGACGTCCGAAGAGATGAACACTCGGTACTACAACGCCCTGCAGTGACTCACTGTTAGCGACCGCAGAAAGTACTTCTTAGGTTGTCTTATACATAAGATACTTATCACACATCAACCTAGTTTTCTTTTTGAGACCTTGCACTTTTGTGAGACGCCTATTCGAAATATGAGAACAGCAGAAGATACTCTGGTTGCGCCCTTGTGTTGTACAGAGATGTATAAGCGCTTCTTTTTATGTACGGCAATCACTGTTTGGAATAGCATCCCTTCTAGTATAAGAATGATTGCCTCTATCAGCCTCCTTAGAACTATCTTTCACGGACTCTTGCTGAATGGTACAAACCATTGATATGTCTCTTATTGGCTTGTTTTAGTACGTAATTTTTTGTTTTACTTTGTCTTAACTTTTTTGTTTTTTGTATTTTTTATACATTTGTATTATTTATTTACATTTGTATTTACAGGGTGCGGCGCCAAAATCCGGACAAATTATATATGTTTTTCTAAATATGTTTTATTGCTACAATGAAAAGATTTACAAAATTTGTTTAGCTCCATTGTTTGTAAGGCCATAAATAATATATTCAATCAATATATCCCCCGCTTGCTTGAATAATCGCCTCCATTCTCGGTCTGAATCGTGCGCAGGCACGCTTTAATGCGTCACGGTCCATATCGGTGAATGCCGATACAATAGCGGCTCTCAATGATGCGACGTTTGGATGTCTGGACTTGTTCG